TTTTTTTTTTTTTTAAGTCAACATAGGGTCTCACTCTTGCTCAGGCTGGTCTCAAACTCCTGAGTTCAATTCTAATATTTTTAAAAAGAAAAAGAGAGATGAACATCATGATTTTGTCCCCCACTGCAACAGATTATGAGCTGAGAACTCACTTTCTGGGCTCCATCCACAGGAGAAAGGGAAGGACCAAGGCTTAGCACCTCTGAGGAGCACTTTGGATGCCAAAGCCATTGTATTCCCCCCACCTACCTGGCTCTTCCATGTGCACAATGATCCAGTTGAAGGCCACCTCGGCGCCCATGTTTCCTGTGAAGTACACAGCCTTCCGACACGCTTCCAGAGGGAAGCCCATCTCGGCCAGCTGCATCACTGAGGACTCATCGACGTCTGACGCTGGAGAGCACACAGGAGAGTCCAGCTGAGAACATGAACTCCTAACTGCCCCTCTTCACCCTCTTACCCACATTACCCAAAGGAAGTACTGTTTTGCTGGGTGTGTAGACAATGTTTTTACTTTGTTTTACATTAGCCATGTAACATTAAGCTATGTGGGCTGAGTGTATATCTTTGACCTGAATAAGAACCTTATGAATCACCTGGACAGTACAAGCACTGAAAAACAATTCTCTAATCTCATGTTGGGGAGACCCACATGATTCCCAGAACCGTGAGCTCCCAGAACTATGTCCTGGGAATAACAACTTTATGTTGTTAAGGCACAATAGCTTTACACCAGCCTCTCAGATCATTCTGAAGACCTCTACAACAGCCTCTCCTATGACTGAAATTTGAAAAATATTATCCCTGGGCCCAAAGGCTGTTCTTTAAATCTCAGAGGAAGTTACAGTGGGCCTTGAGATACATCCAACAATAAGAAGTAGTCAGGTCTGGGAAATTAAGAGCCCAAATGTTAAGTACAGAAGGAAAGAATGTCTTTTTAAATTATATAAATTTAAAATATTAAAGGAGAGAGCTTTACAACTTAACTGGGGCTCAGACACAAAGGGCTTTATTTTCTCTTGTTAATAACAGACACGGGTAGATGTGTGTGTGCATCTGTGTGAGCATATACGCGTATAGTATGTACTACGTGCATGTGTTTGTATACACACATTAGCTTATATACATTCATATCTATGTGTGTACGCACACACAGACAAACACAGTGTTCTCAAATTATACAAAAAGGGGAGAAAAAAAAAACCAAAATATATTTCTTGAGTTTTCCATGTACTGAGGACTCTACTGAAAATTCTGCCAATTTTCTGGCCATCAGTGGAAGAACCGAGGAATGGAGATATCTGTTCTGCAGAAATTATATTTAAGATGCATTTACCCAAGTTCCCTATTACAAGAAGATGCATAAAACATCCTATTAAGGCCAAATGTTAAAAACAAATGATGTGGGACAACAGTGATGTCCGACTTGCATTCTAGGTCATCCTAGTGTTCTAAGAGAGAGATAAGTATTGAATTAAAAACAGGTGGTTTCCATGGTCAAATAAGTCACAAACCCACACCCTCTAGTCTCCCCTTAGATATTCCTAACACGCACTAGCGCAGTGGAAACTCAAAAGTTCTGTAATAAAGATGCCTACGGTAAAGAAACTAAAATGTTCTGTAGAACATGGCTCACCACCTTCTAAGATTCTAGTGTTCCCCAGAATGTAGTCAGACATACAGTTTAGTAAGTAGCATACATATGTCTGTAACATTAGAGTGGAAATGTATAATTCCATTTTTGTAAAGCATAAAGTGAGCCAGGCATAGGTAAAAAATAGAAGGCTATGGCTCGGCGCCTATAGCTCAACCGGCTAAGGCGCCAGCCACGTACACCCAAGGTGGCAGGTTCGAATCCCCAGCCC